CTTGGTTCTTTACAATATTTACTGCATAAATTAAATAGGCAAGGCTGAATACAAGTATACTATGACCATATCTGATTTATTTTCTTATACCAAGCAATTCTCTTTCCAAATTTTATTCTAATTATGTCTTTTTGTTCATTGTAAAGGTTTTTTCAATAGTACAGTTAGATGTTCTGGCACACTCATTATCTTTGGTGCATTTCAAAATTTATAGTAGTCAACAAAACACAAGTAAATCCTTTACTATTTTCTTGCTCTTACCATTATCCTCCTCATGTTTATTATCGAATCTCATGTTCCTCGACTCTTTTTAAATACTGCCTGTTTTTCTGGCATTTCTCTTCCCGTGATTTCATACTGTTTTTGTAAAATCTTGAATAAAACTTAACCATACCATCACATGATCTCTCATGCAAGTAACTTTCACACCATCTTGCATCTCCTTTTTTGAGATGAGTATATACACTGATCTTTTCCAGCCTTTGTTAGCAAATATAGAAGCCAGCACAGCAGCCTATACAGCAGTTAATGATCTCACTGACTCTTTCTCTACTTCCTTAAATAGTTTCATAGGTAGTTCATCAATTCCTGGTGCTTTTCCTTTCGATAGCTGTCCTAATGCCTATGTACTGTACTTTCACACTGCATTTGTTCTGGTTCCTGAGTATGTTTTATTCTTTGCAAAATGACAGGATCATTTGAAAGTAATCTCACTTATATAGACATTTAATATTTTCTTTCCATTAGTGTTTTCATGTAAGCTTTTTAGGGTTCCCACTTAAGGAACAAAATTTTTATTAATTTTCCAAATCTTTTCAGAAGTTTTTTTTATTGTTCTCTTCTACTTTAACATTCCTGGTTAAGATCTCTTTGTCCCTTCTTTCTTGACATTGAAATACAACATTAAGTCTTTTATTTCTTGGCTATGGCCATGGTTGGATTTAACCTTTTTTGCTGTAGGCATAGATCAGAAATTCCTCTGATGTAGCCCAGACTTGTAGCTATGGGAGGATATGAAGTGATTAAACCTCCTGAACTTAATCAGTAATGTTAGTGCTCATATATAATATATGCTTTCACTTTCATCACATAAACTTAGGCTATTTTACACTTAAATTGCAGCTAATAAGCCTAATATTGGCTGAAAAAATGTCAATTTTTTTCAGTTTGCCCCTCTAGACTCAAATGATTTATTCCTGGCTACAGGACTAATTTAGTATAAATATAAATTCTTCTGACATTAATATGGGCTCTAATTACAGAATATTATATAAAACTGTACTAAACTTAGTACATTTTAAATATGAAAATGATACATTTTAGTAAATTGTACAGTTAATGTACATGATACATTTTGTTTTAATTAAAAAGTATATCGTGCATATTGACATATAATAAATCACCAAACGATCGCCTAAATATAGGGCTATAATAAGGCTAATTAAATGATTGGTATAAAGTAATTTGACACTAGAGGTAGACGTTAGGTGCCATCTCTTAAGTAAATTAACAATTATAATTAAATAAATAAATTATTAAATAAACTTATAACCTTCTGGAATAAAAGAACTGGCCCGGGACGGGGCTCGAACCCTTAGTTAAGAGATGGCGCCTAACATCTACCTCTAGTGTCAAATTACTTTATACCAATCATTTAATTAGCCTGATATTTAGGCGATCATTTGGTGATTTATTGTATACTACTCGGGCTTTGAGATGATGTTATTTACATTGGCATATGTTTACATTATAAATGATTTAAGCTCTCTAATGTAGTTAGATCATTATCTTTATTTATTTATATAGGAGACTTAATAATTAAGTATAAATTTTAAATATTTGGAATTATTTACTTTTTTGTTATACTTTACTTGCCAATTTTGCCATCCCTCAAAATTTGCTGTTCTAGGCCCAGGCCTAGGCCTACTGTACCTATTTAGAAATCCAGCCTGCCAATGACCTTCATTCTTCTTCTCTTTTCAGTAATTTCCACAACTTTTTCAAGAGAACTGTGCACTTTCCATCTTCTATTGTCTATAATGTAATAAATCTGATTTTGACACTGTTCATTCAGGGATGTCCAGATGTAGTGCCTGCATTTCTGCTGTTCAAAGTATGTTACAGGTTATTCTCTTCACAAAACTCAATTACCCATTTTCAGACTTTGTTACACTTTCCTAAATTATATTTCTGTGATTTCTGATTCTTCCTTATTTTCAGCTTTAGCATTCTAATCACCGGTTATTAGAAGTAAATCTTTGTCATTGCATTCAGTACTACTAGTAAACTACTGTAAAATTCAATATCTTCCTCCTATGCATCAATGGTACATTTGTACGATAGTTATGTTCACTGAGTTGGCTTTTATTCTGATGGTCATGGTTCTTTGTTTACTGGATTGTGTTAGAGGACATATCTTACCTATGTTCTTCTGGAGAGTTTTAGCAATGCCATTCTTTCATATTGACTCGTGCCTTGAACAGTATATACTAAAATCATTGAAATCAAAGTGACCCATTCCAGTCAACTGGGCTCACTGATATCTAATATGTCCATGTTGTTCCTTTTCATCTTTTTTCACCAGTTCCAAGTTTTTTTTTGATTCTTGCTCCTCATATTTCAAATTCTGATGGTGTGTGTGGTGGAACAAAGAACTTCTCTTTCAGTGCTGGCATCCTCAATGGCCAAATATTCACATGGATTTGGTTCAGCCATGTCTCTTCAATGAAGTCCAAATCTCTTCTCCAATATCATGCCGAGTATCTTTAGCCTGGAGAGACTCATCTACCAGCACAGTATTGTATTTAGATATCGAGCTTGTGTCCATAAGTTTTATGGCAAGATTATGTAAGTGGTTTATCATTGACTTCTAGAATATTACATTTTCCAGTTTAGATCTCCATTATTTTGTAAAAAAGGTCCTGATGGAAGAGAGGCTAAGACCTTGATAACCCATGTTAATTTTGAAGAATGTGTTAACTGAGGAATTACTATAGTATAACTTCTTTTCAAAAGTTTAGAAACTGTCATTAGAAATATAGTAATTTTATTTAAAGTTTAGTAATTTAAATTTTGAAAGAGCCAATTATGATATATTTAAATCTGTCAATATCTTATATTGTTTTACTCAATTGCCTTTTTTTCAGAAATCTTAATTTTTTTCTTTTTTTTGTTAACTGCTTAGATTTGCACTTTAAAAGTTTCTAAACTTTTGAAAAGGAGTTGTAGAAACTTCATTTTTATGGGTTAATTGAATCTTGGTAAACTATCATTAATTGAGCTGCTATATTTCCCATAAGCTCAGTGTCATAAATTGAGATTATGTTCATGAAATACAGTTTGAGTTATATAATATCAGACTGACAAGCTTTTGGAAAAATGTGACATATACAATGGTAGAAAATTTTTACCATCTGTGAAACAGGATCTGCTAAATTTTCTTTCAACTTATTCTTTTAATTGTCATAGAAAAACATCTGTTTTAAGACACTTTCGTGAACAGAGATTGGGAATCAAGATATGTAAATCTTGATATTGCAGTTGTGTTAGAGGAAGCTCATGATATAGTTATCTATTATTTATATATTTACTAAACAAAATTTTACTAGAAGAAATTTCAGTTCTTTTGCAAGAATTGCTTTATGGGGGAAAATCTGCTTTAATATTTGTGAAAAATACTTTTGAAATTTTAATTTTATTTACAACACAAAATAAGATTCAAATAGGACTGACCTAATATTAATATTTAATAAATAATAATTAAGCATATCAAAATTTAAAAATTTAAATTGCTGAATCCTTATATAAGAATTCAACTTTCTCATATATTTTTAGAAATTAATTATTTTGTTGACTAGTAACAGGAAAGATGTTGTATTGGACAAGAAACTGTCTCACATGTTTTGTGAGATTGGGACAGTGGTGGTGCACCATTGCTCATTATGGTGCAAGTTCTTATTGTTATGAATGCAGTGCTTCACAAAACAAAATAACTTTTGCTCTTACTTTGCATACTATTCTCAGTATTAGGAATGAAATGATTTAATTAGTCCTAGAAAATAGAGTTAAGGGAGTATACATTAGAGCCAAACGGTCACTTGGCAGTCACGATTGCTTTTGTTATTACGGCTGGCATTTTGTCCAGCTAATTTAGATAAGATTGTGAATTCTTTTTTTGTTGATAGTAAGATGTCTGTGAAAATTTTTAAACAAATGTGCTGTCTGGTAGAGCTGAAATTGTTTTCAAAAGGAAGAAAGAATAGATTAAAAAAGTGCACAGGATAAAATTCTGTCTAGTTTCATTTTTCCACTCTATTTTTTTTTTATTGTTAAAAAAAATGTTAAACATGAGTTTACATCAATATATTGTGAAAGAAAATTACTAAAGTTAGGTTTTAGTAAAATGTTTTAACTGAAAAATTAATAGGTCTAATATTACGAGTAATGAATATTTTTATTACATTAAAACCTCACCAGTCATCCTACTCCAATCTTGGGGTACAATGTCAAAATGAGAGTTCTTTGTGAAATTGCATTATTAACATATATTACTTTAACTACAAAAAATCAATAGATCAATTTGGTTCTTTCAATTTTTGTTACCACAGTAATAAACTACTTGGAGGTTTTGATCAATAATATGACTTGTGTCCTGCTGTCATTAACAGTTGATCCATTCTGTCAAATTTGTGTGTGCTCAGTTTTTATTACATCAATTTTATTCTGTTTAAATTGTTAATTCATCAAAATATGCAACTTCCAATAATTTGGTAATCTTAATTAATATTACACTATTCTAATTCCATGTATTAACAAGACTGTACTGCAGTTTTTATCAAGTATAGAACATAATTTTCTATGTTTCCTTTATATCATCAGTATAATTATAGATTTTAGCTAACAAATTTTTATTGAAAGAATAAATTTCTTATCAAAATTTATTAATAATCAATATAATAATTATAAAATTGTAAAATTATTGTCTTTTAAATTATATTCAGGAGGTTACAATTTTTGGAATGCCGCTCGCTGTTGGTGCTATCTTACTGGTGTTCTTCTTGGCATAGAATTAAATCCTGATATACCAGATCATAAAGTGAGTAGAATGTTAATATTTAAAATATTTTAAATACAGATATAAACCTAAAAGCCAAATGATTGCTGGATTATAACTGGATATATTAATGCTACATTTAATAATTAAATGTTAATTAATTTTGCCTAGAGGTAGGCATCTCTTGATAAATTATTTAAACATTAATATAGTCAATATAATCTGGCAATTGTTTGGCTTTGTTTATCTAGAATTATTAATTTTTAACCTCAAATATTGCCATCATAAAATTATGGATATTTTATACTAAACACTTGCAAAAATTAAATATTTAATTTCTAAAACTCAGTTTAAAGTGCAAGATGAAAATCACATCAAATAAATAATTACTATTTCCAGTTCAACTTCTACATTTTTTTTTATTTATATGCAAGGCAGTTTATAAAGTAGTCATCCAAAAATAATACAAACTATATTGAGGACAATATCCGATAGCTTGTTGAGAGTCATTGCCAAAAAAACAAATTTAATGTTAAAAATATCAAAATATAATAGGTGTCAGATTGAATTGTTGCATACATGAGATTTTGTGTGGAATGACTCAATTTATTTTAACAATCAGAAAGGCTGGTTCTCTCATTACTTCTTTTTCACCCTTAATCCAGTGAAGCCTGGGTTGGGTAATGGAACAACAACCTCACTCCTTCACTATCTTTTCATCAGCTATTTTGTTCCTCCATTGTCTTGGTTTGGACATACCATCTCGATCTAATTTGTTCTTTCTCCCCAAATTTTTCACTCCTGTTCCTTCTGGTCTTACTCGGCATACTCTCGAGGAATTTCATTTCTGCTGCCTGGATCATTTTATCTTCTCTGTGATGTAGTCTCATATCACTAAAAAGATTTTTACTTTATTCTTCTTCCTACAGTTTAATGATATAAGAATATATATAATTTTTCAAATTCATTTGAGATTTTATATATATAAAATTAAAAATTGTTCTTAATATAATGTAAGTGTAGCAGAAATTAGAAATACAAAATTTTACAACTTTTATATCCAATTTTTTTTTAGCTTTGACTAAATAATACTTCAATTATGTATAGTAGTATTTTTTTTATGTCATTGCTTTTTAATCAATATACTCATTTGTATTTTGCACATTCAAATACAAAACATGAGTACAGATATCCCTTGATTGAATACAGAGGTATCTCAGTACCGGACCAAACAATCACCACCTGCTAGAACAAATATTTTTTATTTTAAACAAAAATAGCAAATTTACCAATGTCTTATTTTCCAAGAAAAACTTATCTGTGTTAAGTAAATACAGCTGTTAAAGCCTCGTTAATTATAATTTCTGCTTCCTGTAAAAAGGGATTGACACAATTAATTTTGCATGTTTACAAAACATGTTCATCATGAAAACAATAAAATAATTTATTTACAGACAAATTAGTACCAAAACAACCACTTATACACAGCACAGTGGCGCACCAACAGAACAACTCGCAACCTATTGGTCTTCTCTTTGGTCCAGTACTGTCGCACACAAGCCAATGAAGGATGGATTGATGTGGGGAACAAAAACTTACACGACATGACATATCAACTATGCTGTGCCGAAATAAATGTACAAGATGTCCAATACACTGTTAACAGAACACAACAACTGCGTGTTAATTAAATTCTGCATTAAGCAAGGGATACCTATATCGTTGGGAAACAGATTGTTACAAATATAAATGTGTAACAGCCACACTACTATAAGTACTTAGAGAATATTTACAGGCATAATTTTGTATGTGTTTAGTCAAAATTGAAAACAAAAAGGACATGACAGAACTTCTTGTAATAGAAGAAACTGCAGAAATCATCATTTTTTTTCCAAAAGAAATTTATATTTTATAATCAGCTGCATGTTAAAAAAAAAATGTTTCAAACAAAGTATAGGACTGTGTTATTGATGTAGCTCTCTAAATTTTGAAGTAGAATTTGCATAGAAAATTCATTATTTTTTTAAATATATATATTAATAAATATCATTTACATTAGTTTTAAAAATTTATTTTGACATCCCCTTCAATATAGACATGCATGCTAATCAATTAAATGTGCAAAATTTAATTGCTTAAAGAAAACTGTTATGTTGGAAAATCAAAATCTATAATGATTTAAAGAATATTTTATTCCAAAATAGAATTGCTGCTTAAAATGTTTTGATTAAGTTTTGTTGCTAGGAAATAGTGTGAGATGTGTCTTCTTAGACAATGTTTATTCACCATCTGAAGCTGGATTAAAGATTAATGGACAGTCTGAGAGCATATCTATATGTTATACTTGTTTTGTTGGATGATTGGATGAATGACCATAGGGGTCGCTAACCTATACAGATGTGTGTGGATGTTAGGATTCTCCTATGAAATTTTAATATTGTATTTTGTTTCTAGTTGTCCTCTGTCCAATTTGTCGTTTATTTGGTTCAAATTGAGCCAGTAGTTTGCATGCAGTTTATGGTATGTTTTGTACCGTGGTCACATGCCCATTTTATGGTCATGATTTCTAGCTTTCCTTTAAGTAATTTCATTATCGGCATTGGACAGTGTGTATCTTATAGGTTTTATATTAAAATTGTATTGTAATCATGATTATTTTTGTCATTTTATGGTGTTCTAAGTTTTTGGCAGGCCTCCTGCATTATCTGGCGGGCTGTCCAAAGATTTAATACAACACAGCAAAAAACAAAAATTGTTTTTTGCTGTGTTGTATTAAATTTTTGGGTTGCTTCTTGTATTAGTCTTTAAGTTTATAATGGTTTTTGTTGGGTAGTATCTGTTCTACCATTATTGTACCATTGTTCTCTACTCTAATTGTACCTAATCCGTGAACCACCACACTAGTTTAGTACTGTCAGTTTTATCACTGTGATTGTGGTGTTTTTTATACAGGGTTGTATCCCTTACTCAGGAGTGTGGGTCGGCTGCTGCGGGCCTACTTCCGCAGTATTTTCAGGTTTATTCTTTGCATAGGGCCGGCTTTCGGTGGCACAGGCCACTTTAGTGACTATTCTGTAGTAGTCCTGGTGCTTCGGAATGGAGTCACAGAACACTTTAAACAACAGCTTCATAGAAGAGGACCGTTTGCAGTGCATCAACTTCCAATTGGATACTATTCTAAGTGTTATTCCCAGTAATAACAATGTTGCCAATAAGGTAGCAGCTTCCCATGCTTTACATTGTTCCGCTATCATAATGCAGTCTACGGCACATCAGTTATTTGGAATAATTCTTGTATTAACAGAAAAGGAAAGGCAAACATGCTTTTCCTCCTCCTCCTCCTCCACCCACTCTAACTTACTCTGAAGCAGTCAAAAAACTGCCTTCATATCAAAGGAAAACAACCAAGCTTATAAGAGCCATGTTGAACTCTGCCATGATGAAAGGGGCCAGGAATCCCAGCTTCCCATCTCACAGTATCATAGTCTGCACCATTCAGGACGAGGACCAACCAAAACCGGTCCCTGAGGAGCTAATGTCAACCCTTCAATGCTCCATCTCTCCCAAAGATTTAGAATTGGAAGTGGATAGGGTCTGGCCGCTGAGAAGCAGAGCTATCTGTATTGACCTCCATTTTGAGCAGGATGCTTGGAAGCTAAAAAAGGCCGTAGCAGACGATGAAGCACTGGCAAATGAAGTGAAGGTAATAGAAAGGTCTCAGAAGTGACCAAATGTTATTCTGGTCAACATTCCAAAGGACATGGAAGACCAGGAAGTTTTAGACTCCATATACCAACAGAATAGGATGGTTAAGGATAATTTCAGCCCAGACCAGTATAGGCAGGCAATAAAACTGATCAGGACTCTGAAATCCAAGCGAGATAGTCAAAATAAGCACCTAATAATATCAGTAGCCTAGTAATGGAGGCGAGGAAAGTGTCTATAGATTGGTGCTCAATCACAGTAGACTATTACATTCCAGTGATCAGGTGCTACAACTGTTGCACATGTCACGCTCCTGTCTGGATTGTCAAAAGGTGCAGTCACTGCACTAGAAGGCACACTTACAAAGATTGCGATTGACTTGACAAAGAACCAAAATGCATAAATTGCCACACTCTGACAAGGTTCTACCTGAAGGGAAAAAGAATTCAACAGTCCACAATGCATTTTCCAACCAGTGTGTATGAGTTTACATAGATACAGGATCAGGCAGGTATCTTTCACTATGTATGAGTAGGCACCTCTTCCTTGATTGTCAATCTATTCTCTTTTCTTCTGGCCCTTCATAATGGATCACATGGATAAAGGAAAGTACAACCTGCAAAGATCAAAGGTGGCCAGCTCAGAAGCTTTTCAAGTTTCTATGGAGGAAGATATAGACATCTTGTGTATTCAGGAACCGTACGTGTTTCAGGGAAAGACTGCCTTATTTGGCAATCTTCAGGTCTTCACCTCCTCTGATTTTTAATCCCCCTAAGACAGCTCTAGTCCTGTGCAACAAGAATCTCAATGCCAGGTTAATCCCTGAGCACTTGAATGGATACTTCACCACCATTCTGATGGAGCTGCCGAACACAGCCATTTATTTCGCATCCTTTTACTGCTCCCCTTATGAGTCCATAGAAGAGCCTCTTCACTCTCTCAGGCAGACTACTGGTACAGTACCTTGGCCGAGGGGTAGGTCGGTCAACGATTTCATAGCCGAGGCAGCTCTCCACTCCCCTCCCAACTTTCACCTCACCTGCTGGGGAGAGCTATCTGTATTGACTGGGTGGACATTTATCTTATCAATGACAAATTTTTAACCCAGGACATTAGGTGCACCACCTTCAACAGCCAAACAGCAAGTGATCGCAGCTACATTAAGACAGACATTTATGGGACCCTAATTCATTGTAAGATTAAAATAGCTCACAATACCAACTAGGATCTCTTCGAGGACATTCTGAGAGAGACCTGGATTCCTCCTCACATCAATCATTTCATTGAGCCAACAGAAATTGAGAACACTGTCACCTCCCTTCAAGAAAAGATTCACTATGCGTATGTCTTCTCTACTAAGCTAAAAATATGCTATTCCAGGAACTTTTGGTGGAGTGGTGAGCTTGATTGGCTGAGGAGGCACTTTAGGTGGGAATGGATCCAAGGTAAAAAGGAGGAGTTAAGGAGGGAGTATCTCCTAAGGTTTCAGACATACAAAAAGGCCATTAACAAGGCCAGGACAGAATCTTGGAGAAAGTTTTGCTCAGATTCCAGTCACAATCCTTGGTCCATAGCCATGAAGAAAGTTAAAACCTCCCAACTCACCCCTGCTATGCCTACAATCACAGCCCTGACTCTATTGCTGAGACTCAAAAATATTTATACCGAGTTGTTCTCTGACAATGACCCCTCCCTGGACACACTCTACCACTCTGAGGTTAGGAATAAGTCCCTACAGCTCAATACATCACAGGATGACCCCCATTCTCCATGGAGGAGATTATGAGGGAATTCCCACAGGGCTCATGGCCATTCATGCCTATAAGATGGTCCCCACAATGATTCTCACTATTTTTAACAAATGTTTGGATATAGGTTATTTTCCAAAAACATGGAAAATCACTACAATTAATTTGCTTGACAAAGGTAATAAAGGAGTGACCACCAATTCTAACAACTACAGGCCCCTGTCATTGGGAAGGTGCTAGACACCCACCACTTCAAGAGCAGTGGTCTTATGAGTAAGCACCAGTATGGCTTCAGGAATGGGAGGAACACAATTCAAGCACTCGCCAACCTTGTCGCTTATGTTAAAAATGCAAAGGCTTACAATCGGCATATTCTTATGGCGTCCTTGGACTTCAAGGGCACATTTGACCATTCAGAGTCAACTCAGTGCAATTGTGCATGATCCCAGGGCAGCTGGAGTCTAACTGTTATGTATATACCAGTTTAGTTGGATCCCAGCTCACAAGGGCCATGAAGGTAATAAATTGGCCGACAAGTTACCTGCAATCTCCCTGAAACATTACTTACAACACATAGCTAATGATATGTGGCAGAAGGAGTGGAACTGCGCTGGTACAGGAAGGATATGTCACAACTTCATACCTTCCCTTGCGCATCTTAAAAAAGCCAAATACTTCAGCCCAGATGCAGAGGTGACCCAGTGCTTTACAGGACACAGGAACTTTGCATCATACCTGCACCGTTTGGTAAGCAAATCAATAACATCTGTGATTGTGATGGACAGAGTGAAGACGATGCACTACATTTTCTCTTCAGCTGCAACAAATACAACCAACAACATGCAGAACTCTTCAAACAATGTCTCCAAACAGGACTCAACTGGCCCACAATTCTGCAAACATTCTCTATAACAAAAAAAACTATGGACAAAAATGAAGAATTTCATATGCAACACAAAAAAACTCAGGCCCGCAAGATGGGTGATGCAGCCACATCCCACATTTGGACCAATGATAGACTGGCTGATATCATTTAAGGTAGGCCGGCTACTCTCCCAATTTGACCCACTGGGTTTATATCTACTAGATTCTTTAATGTTTTTAATGCTAAATTTTGTAATGTATTATTTCTATCAATCAAATCTACAGCACTATCAATGTTATTATGCGACTTAGATATAGAACAAAACATGAATATTTGTTATTGATATGGCTTGCTTTATATAATAATACTCCACTCCTTTGTCGGTATTTATATAAAGCGGTCATAAATCGCGTACTTTGTAATTGTTACCCCCCTTTGCTGTACACACTCACCCACACGCACAAACTAGTCATGTTTGTTTTTATACTGTTTCACTGTACATACTTTATCTTATAACTGTATTTTTACTTGTTCAACAATTATGATGCAGATGCTCAATGATCTGACACGTCCCTTCAATCTTTCCCTCCCTATGTACTTACTATCACTTCCTCTTCTAATTTCAATTTCATCACTTCTAATTTCTTAGAGGTAAAGTCTGTGCCATACAGACAATCTCTCTACTCTTTTAATGTAATGCCCTGGGAAAATCCACATTCTGCTCTGCAGTTATCAGAAAGGACTATCTGCAGCAAGCAAAATGGTAAGATCTTGCATGTCCAGGATATAAAAAGGTGGCTGCCCTTGGCTCCAAGGCGGGCCCATACCTTTGGAATATCCTGCACAATAGCATCTTCAGGCTAACGGCGAAAATAGATAGCACTCTTGACTCCCTCATCCAGGCTTACGCAGATGATACGATCATCTTGCTTTCGCACACTAATCAGGAATACCTTCAACTCCATATGAACAAAACGCTAGAAATCATATCCACTTAGTCCAGAAGTAACAAGTTAGTGATCAACACTGACAAATCCAGCAGTATCCTTTTCCCCACAGCTAACCTACTGGCCAGGAAACCCTCCATAGTTATTGACAGATCCAGGATAAAAGTCAAGGCCACACCAAGATACTTGATGCAATCCATAAATCGGGGACTAACCTGGACCAAGCACATTCACGACACTTATGACAAGGCCTTAAAGGCAGTTTATTCATTAAGGACCATCTCTAGGAACACTTGGGGTCTGGACTCAAGGGCCACCAGGATTATTTATACCAGTGCAATTGTTCCTATTCTAATCTACGGGTGCGAGATCTGGGGTGAAGCAACCAGAAAGGAGCACAACAAGATGATGATCTGCTCAGCTCAGCGGGGTGTAGCCATCCTAATTGTAAAGGCCTACAGGACGGCCCCTACTAATGCTCTCCTGGCTATAATGGGGCGCCCTCTAATCGACTTGGTCATCAATGAAAAGGTGGGGAAGTTTTACCTCACTAACCAGAACAATACTGAGATGTTTAATAACCTTAAAGTGATATATCCAGCAAATTCTCTCTCACTTGAGATACAGGAGCTAGTTACCAAAATCAATAAATGTGGTATGGACATTGCCAGCAATTACACCATGCTTCACCCTGCCATTAAAATCCAAGTCTGTTTTGCTAGCTACACTGAGCAGATTCCTGACCAGTTCAACATCTACACTGATGGCTCTAAATCGGACAAGTGAGTCAGCTGTTCTTTCGTAGTTCAGGATAACAGAAAGAAATTCTGTTATCCTGAACTATGAATAATTTAAGCAATCTATGATCAGGCTATCAAACAACTGCTCAATTAATCAAGCAGAGTCTTTGGCCATTCTCAAGGCCTTGGAATACCTACTGACTGTTGTGTCCTCCCTCAAAGGAAGAAAAGTAAATATCATAACCGACAGCAGAGTGGCTCTGCATCAAATCAACAATTTAAATTTTCACCTCCTTACTATCAAGAGCATAGTGGGCATACTTTTGAAATTACAAAACTCAGTCAGCATTACCTTTTACTGGGTTAAGGACCACACTCTCTGTGCCTGGAATGAGCATGCGGACTTTTGGCCAAGGCTGCTACTAAGAGGTCTTCAACCATCTTGTACTCTTCCCTGCTGGTGTCTAGGGTCAATAAGATCCTTCATAACCTCACCTATTCTACCTGGCAGAGGGAATGGGACTCAGGTAAAACTGGGTGGGTCACCCATAAGTTTCTGCTTACGGTCCTACCCAGTTCATAACTGGGCATGGTGACTAACTCCTATCTGGCCCGGTTTTTGAAAAAGTCCAATGGGAATTGTATGCACTGCCTCCAAAAGGAGGAGACTTCAGAGCATCTTTTGTTTGACTGCCTGGATCTAGAAAATAAAAGACTGGAGCCAGTCTCAGGTGTCTTAAAGAACAATATGTCATGGCCCTGCACACCCAAGAACCTGTACAAGATCGTGCTTGCCAGGCATTGTATCTGTTGTGGTCCTCTTTCCAGTGAGGTTGCTAACCTGAGTGCGACAAGTGACATTGGACTGTTAGTCATCATTGCTCTTTTCCAACGTGTATATTATCGCCAAGCAAGCCACATCTGTTGTACAGTACATTGTTTCTTAATCCTGTCCCCTGCTTGGGACAACTGCTTTTTGTATTTAGTTTAGTTTGGTTAAATAATCCTCTTGGGATTATTTAACCAAACAGTCGCACATAAGTCTCTCATACTTTCTTTCTTCTCTATTTCCCCCTTCCTCTTTCCTCTTCTCACTACTTAAATCTCAACTCCAACTCCCCTCTCCTCCTCTTATCTTCAGGCTATTCCTTTCAGTGAAGCCATAATTTATACTAAGAAGAAGTCCAGATCTGGCTATCTTGCAAACCCTCTCTATGTGGGTTGACATTTATAACCACTGTTAATAATATAGTGATAACAATGTACGAGATTAAATTCATTTCCATAAAGTTATAAAATTTGGCAATAATGATTATTATTACCGATAGCAAACAATGTTTGGTCTTGATTTGGAAAACATTTAGAGTTTACATAATATATTATCACCTAGCATGACTATTATACACTTTCTCAACCATCAATTTCATTTGGTTTTTATTAATACCATTTGTTATAAAGTGATATTACAGAATTATGCACTGCTTACCTCATTTACATTCTCCTAACATCTGCCTCTAGTGACAAATTAATTAAAAATATTAATTACTGGATTAAATCGGGCTACTTCTCTGCATTCATTTGGCATATACATGCACAAACAGTATGCTATAACTCGAGTAATGCTGAACCACATAAGGTAGATATGTTTTGATAAACAAAATAAAATTACAACAACTTTTATTGTTACAGTTTTTTTTAAATTATGGACCAGACTATGAATTGAATATTACTCCTGGAAATAGACCAGATAAAAACAGTAATGAATATATTGAGCAGCTTGTAAAGACAGTATTAGGTAAGTTACTATATCAGTATATTTTTTAAATTATTTTTTGGGCCATGTTAAAACTAATAAATTATATAGAGAGGTTGGAATTTGGAATAATATCCTTTCTAGCAGCTTATATGAAGCTTTCAGATTGTTCATTTCAAAGGACATGTTTTATGTCTGTTTATAAGGATTATAGTTTAAAATAACAGCAGAAATTTCAATTGTTAGCTTTTAATTTGTTGATTACAATAATCTAATTATTAATAGTATATAATCTTATATCATTATATTCTGGGATGTGCTAATTCTGATTTAGTGTAATCAAAATACAGTTAGTTATAATTAATTACCCTTGTATTGAATAACATGATATAGCATGGCATATGTTCACATAGACAAACTTTGACAAATTTACCTTTTTATACAAGATTAGTGTACAGTTTTTTGGACTTATGAGACCCCTTTATATACAGGGATTTTTTCTTAGGTTAAGGTTTATAGGAAAAGGGTAGAGCAAAAGATGGCCAACAAAATTACAATGTCACAAACTGTAAACACATGTTGTGACATTGTAATTTTGTTAAGCTGGCATATTGGTGAATTTCTTGACTGTTTCTGATAGTAACCCCATTTGTAGATGAATTAGAATTTCCAATACTAAGAGGATGAGTCCAAATTGATACAGTCTTCCTATTCATGAATGATCTTTAATCTAATGTAGAAACTCGACCAGTTCATTTTTCGGTCTACTTCTAAAATCTGTGCCAGATGAAAAATTTCAAACAGATTGACATAGAACTTCTAACATTTCTAACGCAGAAAATCTCACATGTAAATTGGATGCATCTGGAAGATTTTTTCATAATGACATATCAAAGAGAGCCTGCCATGCTTGTGAAATGCACCTCTACTTAATGTTTATTTATTGACTCTGCTTTAAAAATCTCAAATGCATCTAGTACTTTGAGTTAGTCCATGTTTGCCATCGTTCTAATTAATGTAGCAAATTGTAAATTGGGTTTAAAGATATATGTGGTGAGAGGAAGTTAATTTGCTTTTTCTATTCACCATTCTGGTGTGCCATATTCTTTCACTTCACTTCTGCATTATATACTGTCTTCTCATTCAAGTGACCACTCTATCTGACCTCCTTGTGGGTGGTTTCAATGTCAGGAATAAAGAAAAAGAAGACAAACTACTAGTACTGTATTAACGGAATGAATCACAATCGAGAACCTTTAAAGTCCAGTAACAAAAATTGTAATGAAAACGAACGTATACATACCCACGGTTTGCATCAGGTTTTTAACCAGTAAGGCCAAGACTCCTAGCGTAAAAATGAGCGTAAAACCCATCAGTTAGTAACCACAACACCCATCAATGTTTTGTTACCGCAATCATTCCGTCGCCATGGTAACTCATGTACATATCTGTTTTTTCTGCATGTGCCTGGAGTATTCTATATTTTAAAAAGACAGTTCATAATTTTGTTCTTCACATTCACAAGTTCAATTCCCATTGGTTTTACAAACATGAAGACGGCTTGAGTACGGTCGAAAACGTTTATTTTTGTTTGTAGAAATGGGCTGGCAGAATTACATTTTAATAAAACATAAAATTCATCTGGATACGAGTCCAAGTTTACTTGCCATGTCTAATCACCAGGAACAACTATTTCCATTGCAGAGACAACCTTTCTTTAGAGGCTATGCCTCTGCACGAATATGTAAAACAGTTTAAAATGTCCACAGGTGACAATCCCAACACAATTAAAAATATAATATTTGTTTGTAGAAATGGGCTGGCAGAATTACATTTTAATAAAACATAAAATTCATCTGGATACGAGTCCAAGTTTACTTGCCATGTCTAATCACCAGGAACTTGGACTCGTATCCAGATGAATTTTATGTTTATTTTTGTATTAAACTCTCGTAAACCTAAAGTCCAGTATTAATTGTTCCATACTTTAAATGACAGTTTGTGCAACTGGTCATTAATAGTGTTGCAACGAATAGTATATTCGGCCATACTATTCAGCTTGATTAACGCACGTACGAAAATTGGCACGCAACCCGCATTATGGCAAGGACCCCACTCTCTATTGGCCCGCTGTCACTATGCTTTGCCAATCGCATTAATTCTTGACAGTTGAAGTGGACAGACACGAGCATCATGGCAGTATGTGATAAGTGATGATATCAAATGTGGATAACAATGAAATGACCTACACGTGTAAATAATGGAAAAAGAACAGAGAAGGACCGCAAGGTGAAAATGTGAAAATAAATATGAAATTGAGTCAATAACATAATCGAACAAGTCAAGGCAGCTTATTGGCACGAAATTTGCAACTGTCAATGCCAAACAATTGTCGTCATAGACTTTGGAAAGCTAAATGCTTGTAACGAAAGTCACTTAGAGTGCACGGGCAAAAGCCTGGGACTGTTCGAGCTACCAAGCTGTCTCAAATATGTGAAATCATAACTGTGACTTATACCGACGTCCTATCTGTCTCTTTTCTCCATTATCACCAGGCTATGAGTCACGCAATTGTAAAATGGGAAATCTACGACGGAAAAGTGACGGATCGAAAGTATCATGAGCGTGTATTATGATGTATGCATAGGCATACATGGACTAGAGCGATAGAGGAAAGAGAAAGGAAAGAACAAAGATGAGCGCTTAAAAAGAAGGATAGGCAGGGTCAGACCCTCACTGTCAGGTGTGTGACGATTCTCGAACGAATAGGTGTGTACGTGTGCTGATCTTTGTGAATACATGTGACTAATATTATTTTCTTTTTTATTTTGTGCATGTTATAAGTTAAATAAATATCAATATAAACAAAAAACACTAACCCAATAACATTAAATCTAAATACCAAAATGATCAATTTACTGTGTTTTTGTTATTTCTTATTCCTGTTTTTAGGTATTCGGCCGAATACCGAATAGTAACCAAATATTCGTTACATCACTAGTCTTTAATATTATTGGGTTTTGCCTATACAGATAACAATAAATGACCAAAATGATTAAATACAGCAGAACTTGTTTATTGTATTCTGTTTTCAGGATTCTTAAAGGTTTAGTTAATTGTACTTATGAATTGTAGGTTTTAACATCCAGTAATGAAAATTTTAATTTCAAATTGACAAACATTTTTGATCTTAACCAAGATCCTCATCGCATCAACAATATTCCAATTTGGAATATCATTGGTGACCTAATGCAGATCTTGATTAATTTAATTAAGAACGAAAACATTCGTCAATTTGAAATTAAAATTTTCATTACTGGATGTTAAAGGTTTAGTTGATTATGATTAGTATTCAGTTCTAGTCATTGAGAAGAGATGTTTTTTGTTCTCTACAGTTCATACTATACTTTCAGGTGTTAATGATTTATCTGACCACAAGTGAAAAAAAAATGGAATAATTAGCTCCCTTGCATTGAACATTTATAAATATAAAATGTTTCAATATCTTTTTTCAGATAAAGTATTTTTATTAAATTCAGCAAGAATATGGTCTAAAGAATAATGCCCCATTCTGTGCATTAAAAATATTTATTTTGCAGGTAATCTGGATTTTGTGTGTTGAATTCAAAGATTTTACAAGAAAAAAAATTTTATTTTTGCATATTTAGCTTTTAATGAATTATAAAAATGTTACATGTTGGTGTGCAATGTATAATTTGTATTACATAATGTTTTTAATGTATAAAATATTTTATTTTTATATTATATAATAATAAAACTTCAATATGTAAATGAAATTTTAAAAAAATTTTAATCAGTGAATTTTTTTCTCATAAATCAAAGTAACAATGAATGTGAAAGACATTCTCCAATTACAGTTACCCCTTGATTAACGTGATTAATTAATCCCTCAACGCTATTGCATTAATCATGTACAGGGGTACCTCGGTACTTGATCAAACACCACCACCCACTAGAATAAAATTATTTGTTATTAACCAAAAATTTATTTTAATAAGTGAAAATAGCAAATTTACTAACACCTTATTTGCCAAGAAAAACGTATCTATGTTAACTAAAGACGGCCGTTAAGACTTCTACCGTGTATAAAAAGGAATTGCCACAATTAATTTTATGCATTAATCAAATCCCACATTAAGCATGGGATACCTGTGCATTAACGATAACTACGGGATTCCTAGCCATCAGAGAATTTGCCTCCTCTGTTGCCTTGTTGATTTTTTTCCTCGGCAATGCGATCGACCAAGCATAGCCGTCTGCAGGCAGCAAGAAGTAATGTATTGCAATGCAAATTACGAGCAGGAATGCAGGACTCAAAATTTCCCCTAAAACCATAATAATTATTAATTGGTTCATAAATTATTACATAGTTTGGAAAATTCAAATTAAATAGGCCTACCATGCATCACTAAACTGATAAGTTACCATAAAAATATTTTAGATTAAAACAATGCTTTAAGCATGTCTTCATCATAGGATAGCATACATAGTTATAAACTTAATGCAATACAGTCGACCCCCCCCATAACGGAAATTCCTATAACGTAGCGAAAAAATTGTAGCAACTTTCGTATAACGTACCTCCTATAACGTCGTTTCGCGAGAAGATTGATAGAGTCTGGACCAATAGTGGATGAGCAGCCGAACTACTTTCCTCCAACCCTGCGCCACGCTACGGAGCGGCTAAATTGAGTTTGCTATCGTCTGTTTAGTATTATATATAAATTATATATAAATTAGGTACTGTATATATAATTATATATTAACTTAATTTATTGTAACTTTATTATAATTATATATATGCTTTCTGCCGCCTGGCAACACGCTACGGAGATTTTAGGCTAGTAAGTTGAGTTTATTATCGTCTGTACAGTATGTAAATTAGGTACCGTAAGTCTAATACAGCACTAATTTTATACATTTCTTGTGAAAGAAACACTTCTTATTCAACGGCCATAAAAATTATTTATATTAATGATGTCTCCAAAGATCAAGTTATTTTTCTGCGAAAAATTATTTATTAGAAATTGCGGCCGCAGTTTCGTGTGCTGTTCCATGACGAAAACCAGCTTTAAGCAACGGCATAGTCGAACGGTACACACTCGGTAAGTAATCCTATAATTTTTTGTTTATAGCATAGTTTATACGGATTACTCCCAAAAAATTATACGTGTTTTGGAAATGTTGAGTGGAATTAGTCTAGAATCGGTTAATTTTATAGAAGAAATTTCGAACAGCCTTAGTCCGTAAAGTTCCCACCTATCGGGCTGTGATTGGCTCATGTATTTAATCATTCCTACAACGTAATTTTTGGTAAGCGTGGAACGTATCTAAGCGTTATAGGGGGGTCTACTGTACCAGTGGCGTAACGTGGATGTCAGCTGCCCGGGGTGGAGAAAAATTTTGCCACCCCCTTATTTAGGTATCTCAATTTAAAAGACTAAAATTCAGTTTCGTCACAGAATAAGTAATGAAAAATTCTGTGCTCATTTCAATCGGTCGGAATCGTAGGTGCGACAAAAATGTGAAATGAAATGGTTGAAAGTTTTACAAGATATTGTAAAACTTTCAACCATTTCACTTTCACAGCATGATCATCACCTGCCCCGGGCCCCTGCTGCCCCCACTACGCTACACCACTGTGCAATACCTTGATTAATAGAAAAAAAAAATTGAAGTGAATGCCATGAATGATTGTGATTATATTTATCAAAGACTGTAATTAATGGACTTTTTGATATCCAAAAAATGCAAAATTTATTTATGACAATGACTTCAGAATGAATTTTTATAAGACTTGAAGTTTGTCCTTAACTGAAATTTACGAGCAATGAACACCATAAAATTCAGATTTGGCAAGTAAATGTTCATACTATTAAAATTATTTTCCCACCATGGCTATTTTTTCTAACTTCTGAAACACTCCTTTATATTATTTAAGTTAAAATACTTTAACTAAAGTTAGTATGAAAAATTACATATATTTACATTTAAGTAATTTCATTACACTATTATAAGTTTTTGAAATTTTAAAACAACACAAGCTGAGTTTGGGCCCTGGTAATTAATACTGGCTTCCTTATGTGCTTAGCCTGTCAATGGCCAAGTGGATAAAACATTGATAGCACAGGTCTGCAAGTAAAAAACTGCATAGAATTTTTATACATTTTCTTAGATTTCAACTTGGTAAAAACAAAAAAAATACCAAAAAGATTTCATCTTGTCAATTTTTTTTGTTACACTCAAGTTTTTGTTTGTATTTAGCATAAAATTCCTAGTTAACTTAAAATTTAGAATTCTTTTTTATTTATTTAAAAAATGGCCTTAAAATGAAGACTTCTCACATTAATTCTATCAATTATAGCTGGACTTGGTAATAAATAAATAAATAAAAATGTTAATGGTTGAAGAGAATAGTGGTAAGGGGAGATGGGTTAAGTAGTTTTAGCGTTAGGAGGAAAGTCGCATGATCGTGTAGAAACAGGTTAAAAGTTGATAGTGAGTAATATTACTGGTGAGGTTGAACGTGTTTCGATATGTTATCTGGGATACTAGGAATAAATATAAACAACCCGCTGTTGGATTAGATCTTGTTTCAACATGCTAAATAAGTTCAGTATCTCACTGGTCATCTAATGCCACACTCAGTTTATACGCTACTGCATTCGAACGCTACTGCGCTTGTATTTTTACTTCTGGAATATGGTGCGCAGAGGTTGTGTAATTTCTCCCAACAGCTTCTGTTATGTTTGTGGTGAATACACAGTGAAAAGTCAACAAAGAAACATGAGTGAGTTTGTAAAGAAAGTTTAATTTACATATTTCAAATTGAAACTTGGAGATCGAGACAAAGCAGATTTTTGGAAACAATGGGAGAAAAGGAAAAAGAAGCTGAGACTCTTTCAAGAATACAGTGCATAAGTTTTTGGGGAATACTAAGGACCCTGACTACAAAACCATTGTACAATGCATTCTGGCAGCAGCGTATGAAGCTCGAGGATGCGAGATGAGCTTAAAAGTTCATTTCTTACACTCTCATATTGACTATTTTCCCGAAAACTTGGGCGCCTATAATGAAGAACAGGGTGAAAGATTTCATCAGGATGCCCGTGATATCGAGAGACGTTACCAAGGAAAATGGGATGTCAATATTGTGAGATTAGCCAGGAGTACCTTTCCACTAGGATTGTTAGTACCACTTAATTGGCGCTATTCTCTAGAATAGTTCTTGGAGTTTCGGATCGAGAGATCCAATCTTACGTCAAGAATTGACCGGGAGGGCTTTAGTAACAGATCTGAATTGCGAGATTTGGATCTACGTCAGGATGTTGACACCAGTTAATCACTTTTATAACACACGGATTAACATGCGTTTGGAGATAATATGGATTTGATTCGGATAACAACTAAGAGACATTTCTTAAACATATAAATAAAAGAACTTAATAAACTAGTATAAACAAAGGTATACAAAATGGATATAATCCAATAATTCAAACAAACGATTGAGAGAGAATATGAATTCAATTAAAATATACGCTTAGAGAGAGAGAGCTCACAAATTCATTTATATTCATTTATATATCATAAACAAAGGTATACAAAATGGATATAATCCAATAATTCAAACAAGCGATTGAGAGAGAGTATGGATTCAATTAAAATATGCACTTAGAGAGAGAGAGCGAGCTCACAAATTCATTTATATTCATACTACCTCAAGGTTTACCGGGTCTTTATGTTCATCTGTGTTCTATGATCATACTTCATTTCAGGGAGAGGTCTTGATTTGATACAATATTAAAAGTTCTTCTTTTACCCCTAAATTAACTCATATTATACTTGTCTGGATACGACTATGGGCGTTGTCCTTATGGAGACAATATATGGGAGACGTCTCCTCTATGAGATCCTCTGACGCACCCCTAACTAAGGACATTGGCCTTAGGGAGACAATATGGGAACTTCTTTCCAATATGAGATTCCCCGAATCATGTAGATCTTTGACCAATCAGCATATTTGTATTTTCTCACGTGAACGGATGAAAAGGGGAATTATTGAGGGGTCGACAATTCCCAAGGTGGTGAGATTTGTGATAGATAAGTGGAAAACAACTTCCGTTAAAGGAAGTGGCTCTTTTATCAGTTTTCCCCATGTTAAAAAAACTATATTTTCACACCAAAATAAAAGAATATTTTACTTCATTATTTTAATTTTATATTTAAATTGTTAATTAGACCCAGGGGTTATTCGGATCTCACAACATGTTAGCTGACTACTGTTGGATGCTCAATTGAGAAACCAGAGAAGGAATTCGGAAACGAGTTTGGAGAAGCATCAAAAAGAAGGAAAGGTTTCATAAGAAAAAAGAGTAGACCTAAAATTGTGTATAAATATCAGAAACAATTTGTTGATTAGTTGTAAGAAAATATTTATTACAAGGAAATAAATATATTACAGTAGAGCCTCGAAAACTCGGCCTAATGTGGACCGAAGGGTGGCCGGGTTTGTGAAAATGCCGGGTTATCGGGAATGCGGTTAAAAAAAATAAGTATGAGTGTTTCCTCAGAAAATACTGTACTGTACTTGTATGTATTGTTTACTTGAGAATACAACAGAGAATAAACTGCCCAAATACCCTTAAATAAAGGAAAAGTACATCTTTTATGAAGGCATAGAGCCTTTACTACATGAAAATGAAAATTAATGAATACACTGTGTACAGTAATTTAC